TTTTCCTTCCGCTCAACTTTCTGTTAACATGCTTGGATACAGCACTCTGTGAACAGCCAGCTTCTTTGGCAATGAATGTTTGTGGCTTACCCTCCTTGTGAAGGGTGTCAATGATTGTCTTCTGTACAACTGTCAGATCAGCAGTCTTCCCCATGATTGTGTAGCCTAGTGAACCAAACTGAGAGACCATTTTGAAGGCTCAGGAAACCTTTGCAGGTGTTTTGAGTTGATTAGCTGATTGGCATGTCACCATATTCTAATTTGTTGAGATAGTGAATTGGTGGGTTTTTGTTAAATGTGAGCCAAGATCATCACAATTAAAAGAACCAAAGACTTAAACTACTTCAGTCTGTGTGCATTGAATTTATTTAATACACGAGTTTCACAATTTGAGTTGAATTACTGAAATAAATGAACTTTTCCACGACATTCTAATTTATTGAGATGCACCTGTATATTTTGCATATTCAAATACAAATGTTTTGCATATTCTTAATTTACGTTTCAGGAGCTGGAGGCTCTTAAGCAGCTGTCTGAAACCTCGTTGTCTCTCACACAAACAGTGCAACAGCTGCAGACAGACAAGCGGTACTGGTCTAAAGGAGAGAAGCACACGCTGCGTGAGTGTTTTCTTGGATGTCTTGGTTTTGATCAAAGTTTCTTACACAAACTTCTAAATAACATGTTTTTGTTTTGTTTTTTTTAGCCGAACGATTAGAGGAGCTAAAGAACAGATATGTGACTTTTCTCTCCCTTCACCAATCATAACCTCAAGGACTAAGCAGAAATCTACAACCTACAGTTTGAATTTTAATTGGTACATGAGGTGTAAAATGTAATAACACCACTATGCTGTGCACTGTTATGCAGATTTATACTAGGAATAAATAACAAATTGCTGTTTGTGAACTCCAAGACATTGATCAATAGGCATTCCACTTATAAAATTGCCTTCAAATAGAATACACTTAATAGTTATAAACTATAATCCTTTCTTTACAAAAGCCTGTTATTAGTATGTGTAGTAGCAAACACAAGCGTATCTTTGACTGCCAGTGTTTGATTTGCAATCATGTTATGACATGTTTTTTTTTGTTTTTTTTAATAAAAACTCACCTTATAGAAACACGGAGTGTTTTTTAATTTATAGATAATTTACATTTGTGTAAACTTTATAAGTATAGTTATTGTCTGTTCACACATTTGTGACACTAATGGGAGGGTATTTCTCTCAATGTTTAAAAGCACATCTTTTGGAGAAAGCCAGGAATTTTAGTGTAAAACATTTCCCAGTTTGTGAGCTTCCTGTAACCATTTCTGTTGCTAAACAAAACCTGAAGCCAATGGAGAATCAAGCCCTCAATCAACAAGGAGAGGTGAGTAATAGATGTGTGCTTCCTAATCTTTTTCTCGTTTGTTAAATATGCTGCAGTTTCCCAAAAGCATTTTACAACACCGATAACATCTTGTAACTCTAGAGGCAATAATATACGTTTAAAATGAAGTAATTTGTTAAATATCTGGCTGTTACATGCAAGCACACTATCCACAAGACAACATCCCCTCAGTAGCACCTAAGTGATGCTCATACTTCTGTTGAAAAGGTCCTTCAGTTGTGTGTACAAGCAGTGCTGTGTGAAGTTTCATCTTTGCTTAAGCTTTCAGTGATTCTGTCCTGTGGAATGAACTTGACTTACTTGAGGAATAGAGATCTTTTAGCCCAACCGTGCCACAGATTGAAACATTTATATTGTTTTTTTTTTTATTAAGAATTTTCATGAGTTGTTCTCGGTAACTTAAGTCTTACACTAATACTTAATTATCTATTTCTTAATTTCATGTTCTAGAATGGACAGGCCAATGAATGTTATATTCACTCCCCGTCAGGCTCCTGGCGCAGGGAACACACAGCGTCTCTTCAACATGAACCATTACGCTACTAAGAAGAGTGCAGCACAGAGCATGTTGGATGTGGCTCTTCTGATGGCGAACTCCTCTCAGCTGAAGACAGAGCTGCATTCAGGAGCGCAGCACCGCTTCTATGCTCCTCTTATCGCTCTGATCTCACTGCAGGTCGCTGTTGGCCTCCTACTCATCTTCATTGGTTAGTTATTATTTCTAGGATTTTTTTCTCTGCTGTAATTTCGTAACTATGTAACTACATAGTTACATACATACGTTACATTCGTAACTATGTTTTCTGTTGTTCCTTTCAGTGAAGTATGACCTGAATGATGTTAAGATACAGCCGAGGCTAAACACAATGAATGATACGGCCACTGTTTTTGTGTTCTTTACTGTTCTTATCAACATCTTCATCACAGAATTGGGATTAGAGTCTGGAGGGTGAGCCGAGTCTCACTTGTTTTGTTTTTTTTCACTTTATAATTTAAAATGAGTATTTATGTCTGGACATCTTTTTTCTCTGCTGTAATTTCGTAACTATGTAACTACATAGTTACATACATACGTTACATTCGTAACTATGTTTTCTGTTGTTCCTTTCAGTGAAGTATGACCTGAATGATGTTAAGATACAGCCGAGGCTAAACACAATGAATGATACGGCCACTGTTTTTGTGTTCTTTACTGTTCTTATCAACATCTTCATCACAGAATTGGGATTCGAGTCTGGAGGGTGAGCCGAGTCTCACTTGTTTTTTTTTTCACTTTATAATTTAAAATGAGTATTTATGTCTGGACATCTATACTTTAGTCTTTACAATACATTAATTGTAATACTGTACTTTACATCTGTTCTGTTTCAGAAGCAGCATCAAGTACTGCAGTCCCTATGAATATGTAAGGACTGTGTTCACGTATTTACACACAAGAAGTTTTATTCACTGTAATAGTCAAAAACGTTTTTCTGCCATCCTTTTGAGCCATACAGATAATATCATGTATGTTTTTTTATGGATACGTTCACTCTAATAAAGCACTAATATCTGAGTAAATATGTAATTTTATGTTCTTCACAAGCTGAATTTCCTAAGTTGAATTTCTAATATGTTACTGTTTATTCACTCCCTTGACAGCAATCAAGAAATAAAAAGATGAACAGTTTGCAGTGTAATATTAACAGACATTTGCTGTCCCTCTTCTAGAGCCTCTAAACAGTACCAGAAGCCTTTACACGTGTGGAAACAGTTCTGCTGAAAACTTGGTCAAAGGATTTAATCAAGTCGATAAATACAGGAAAAAATCTTACACAAATGTCACTTTATTAGATAACATTTCAAACCAAGTGGCATTTTTTTAAAGACAATAAATGTTTTTCAAGCAAACAAATTTGAAATTCAAGAAGTGTTTGGACTTTTTTTGTGTTCAATTCATTTGCAAAAGGAGCAAATTTTAGTATAAACATTTGTTTGCACTGAGTTGTCATTATCAAAGACCAATTCTAATAACAGTGATATTCATACATTGTATGTGTGGCTTAGGTTGTCCAAAAACATTTTTTCAATACTATATATATAATAAAAAAGGCATTTTGGTAGTGTTAACATGTCAGGGACAAGCAGCAGTAGGATAGTAATGAATGAATTAATCTGTTTAATAAAAAAATCTTTTTATACAATTTATATCCTTAATAATTTTCCACAATAGTAATAAGGAACTGAAAGCTTGTTATATTGTGAATATAGTCTTGGCTGAAAGGGTTGTTGCATTGTGCCTAACAATGGCCTTTAGCTGTAACTATTATTCACAAACTAGCACAACCTTGTGTACTTTATTGCTCAAATCTCTTCAGTTTTCAATTCAGCACCTTAGAATTTATTAAAAGGGTTTAACACTGAAAACAGCGAATTGAAACGGTTTAGCAAACAGTGCTCTACAGAATGTCCCATGAACACAAGCTACAGCAAAAGGATTTCACATACAATTGATAAGAAAATAAGCTTTAGAGATTTAAATGCCCCAACTATCATAAAAATTCAGAATTTTCTTAATATGGATAGTCTTCCACATCTGTACCTGTTTGATAATAAAAATGCACAAAGCAAGTATTTGAATAAAACTTTACGCATTATGCACAAGTTCATGGTTGTACGACAACTGGTACTAAACTTCACTATCTGTAATCATACAGAATGCAGAATACAGGCTATATTTATGGTTGTTCTTGTACAGAATCAGTTTAGGTTGGGGCTGATGAACATATTTAAAACCTCACCATTCCTCTACTGAACGCTTTTAAAGGGGGTCTCCTCTGCAGGCTCCATACACGTGTACACATAATAAAGAAACACAGCAATGATAAGAAACACCAAGACACGAAGCCAGCCCGGCACACCTCCAGATTTGCTGGTCTCTGGACTGGATGGACCACGCTGCATGGATGTGGAGACTGACGGGCCAAGCCGAGAAGAACTCTGATAGGACATATGAGTTGGGCTGATAACCGGCCTTCAACATAGACAGGAAGGACATTTAATTGATTTTCAAGTGGTTATTATACTACAGTATTACAGCCAAATTGTAGTAACATGTTGTAGGAGAAGCCGAAAATAAGATAACTGTTAATATTATTAAAAGAAAAACTCACTCATTGGTATAGCCTGTGTTGTCATCTCTGTAATCAGTCAGATTTGACCTCCGTATGCTGAGGAGCGAAAGCATACATCCAGTTACATTTATGTGGAAACCACTTTTAAGCTTAAAAAAATAGATGAAAAGGGAATGAATGACTGAATCTCACTTGTGGGCAAAATCTGCATCGGTGACCTTTGACCTCCTTGTGCTGGGGAGGGATCACACATATACAATTACTGTAAGCATATCAGAAGGATATTTGTGATCTCAGCAAGACATTTTAATAGACGTTATGATTGTGATTTCAGATTACTGCTTTTTACAGGTTTTCTGTGTATGTTCTGTGTCATTATGTTGTATAACTTCAAAGTTTGAAAATACAACTTCCAATCGATTCCTGTTCATTTTTAATTCATTCTACAAAAATAGAATATGGAAAAAGATTTCATACCCTTTTTGACACATACTGTATTTGTTCTTTTTTTAAGCATAAACTCACTTAATTTTGTGAAATTTCTCAAGACTTTGATGCATCCTGATTTAAGAATGTTTCAGTTATTTGTATTGGAAAATAAAAATACTGAGAAAGGTATTTATTTTTAACAACGCATGCAAAATTTCATACCATGACTTTATGAATTTAAGACTTTCTGCTCTGATTCGAGACCTTTTTAAGACCTTAAATTGTGGAAGGGCACATTAAGACTTTTTAAGACCTGCAGAAACATACTCAGGAAAATAAAATATGCTACTTACACATCACCAAATCCATCGTGTCTGGTCAGTTGTGGCTGCTAAATATGAAAAATGTCTTATTAATAGACTACATATCTGATGATATAACCCTTCAAGTTCAGTTCAGTTTTTACTTACGGGCTGATGATAGGTAATATATTCAACTTCCTCCTCTGAAAACAAAAGCAAATTTTACAATTGTAATTCTACACTCTAAATATGGGGAAAGTCAAAGACTGTCTCTTTTTTCTTAAAGGGGTCCTATTATGCTTTTTCACTTTTTGAATTTTAGTCAGTGTGTAGTGTGTGTGTTTGGGCATAAAAAAAAGATCTTCAAACTTACAAATCTCAAAGTCCACTCCAAAGGGAGATATTTTGTTTTTTAAAAATCCCTTTTCAAGAACTACAACGAACGGCTCGTTTGGACTACAACGCATATTTTCCGGGATCTGTGATATCACAAAGCGGCCCATTAGAATATCATTAAAATAATTCCCGCCTATGGAAATTCGTTTTTTATTTAGTTTTTCGGAAGGCGGGCCTTCAACTAATCGAGCCGTTTGTGCCAGGATGGGGAGAAAGGTATTGTAATAATGTAAATTATGTAAAAAATAATGCGTTTTTTGAACCACCAATCATGAGAGCATATTCTAGTACACCCCCAAAACAAATTCAAGACATTGTAAAAGAGCATAATAGGACACTTTTAAGAGAAGCCTTACTTTCTTCCCGGTAGTATGTCTTGTCAGGCGAGGAAGGCTTAGCTTTTTTGGCCATGGCTTCATTCAGTTTCTTTTCATAAAGCTTCCGTGTGGATTCTGTAAAAACAAAACCGCCACCAAATCACAGCACAACTTTCCCCAGAGTCACTGAAAAACAAACGCCCTTTAACGTGCTTTCCTGAGTTAGTGCTAAAATTTAATGAATTAAAAAATGAAGAAATTAAATTAAAATGATTTAAATAAAAATCGTTTTTTACATACTTTTTTTTTTATTAATATAGTTTTTTATAACTATAATGTTACAACTTATTCTAAAAGAGTAAAGGCTTATCACATACCTACTATGGGTCCATGTTTAATGCCATATTCATCCAGCAGCTGACTGATCTCCTTATCAGATTTTCCGCTTAACGAGTACATATCTGCAACAACAGGTTTTATGTGAAGGTTTAAGATTACAAAAAAAAAACTGAGATGACTCATAACAATTGTTCGAGCATGTAGGTAACTCACGTTAGTAGGCCTACTGGTTGACTGAGAAACGTAACGTAAAACCAAGCTTATTTTATCTCTATAGAGAGTCTGAAAGAACAAAACCAATCTCTCATTGAGAGATACAAAAACCAGCACTGCATAAGAATGAACAAAGTGCCAGACTGCTATAACATCTGGGGCTGAATGTCAAACATGTGCAGCATGCAACAGCTGGAAACTTCGAGAGGTAAGTTAACGTTAACATAACGTTACTCTGAACAAAAGACACGTCCTACGCAAAGATCAAACGAACATGGCATCTTCTGTCAGATTAAAGAAAACGCATTTGGGAGAAAAAGAGCACAAAAGCGTTTTTCAGGCGTACAAAAGGTCAGAGAAACTGATTTCTTGGGATCGCGCTAGCACGCGAAACCACTGACTCAACTTCAACAACGCATTTAGCATGATAGAAGGGTGAGCAGTAGCAAGAGTTTCGTGTATTTTCTCGCCTATACATATACCTTTTTATGTTTAAAAATTAAATTTGGTCATAATTGAATTACCTTAACCGATCCCAGGACGTTAAAAAGGCGCTTTCCTGAGCTGGGCGTGTCGCGCTGAAGGAGGAGACGCACATCACTTCCTTACGCCTGCAGTGACTAAAATATGAGGTTCCATTTGTGTCAAAAATTACTGCTTCGTACTATACATTTGTCTTTGTCTACAGTCATTGCCTGCTTGTTCAGGTAAATCAGTATATGTTGGCATGTAAATTGTCTGTTGACGTCGTCTTAACCTGTCGTCCTGCCTGCTTTTTCTCTGTCGTTTAATTACTGTCGTCCTTATTGTCATTTTGTATGAGGTTGCATTTGTGTCAAAAATG